ATATAACTCCGACTGGATTCGTCTGAAAGAAGAAAGTCATATACACCTAGGATGCTTCGAGGGTGAGTAAAACGCAGCATAATGTACAACAGTGAGCGCAAGCTACATTTAAAGTGATTATTACATTTTGAATATAGATATTTTTCCCTCAAAAAAACGCATCGATTCGCTACAGAAGGCCTTTGTTCACCCCCCGGAGCCGTGTGAGACACTTTTTTTTTATGGATGGGCGCTTTTTATTTACCTTCTTTTGGACTGATAAGCAACACCCGCTGAGTGCCATGAAGCAGCTTGAAAGATCAAAGACAATTTTCAATATAACTCCAACTGGATTCTTCTGAAAGAAGAAAGTCATATACACCTAGGATGACTTGAGGGTAAGTAATTTGTGGGCTAATTTTCATTTTTGGGTGAACTTTTGCCAAGTAGGACAAGTTTTCTGGATAAACATCCTTGTTGGTTCTGGATCAACATCCCTATCAACCAGTCAGATTTCCAGGTTGGGTTTCAGGCTAATGTTAGGGTATAAGACTACGTAAATCACCATGTTGTTTTCTTGTTTTAGCAGCGCTCATACTACACCAGAAGGTGCACAAACTACAAGATCTTTGGCCAAGAGACAACCCCGACCACACTGTTAAGTATAGTGCAAAGACCACTTATTTCGATTTTAAAAACATTTTTCTTGTTAGTTTATTAGTGTCAAACAATTATGATCAAATGTTCTTGCATTCATTTACATGATATCATGTTGTTGTTGTTGTTGCATCGCTCACACTATTACAAGAATATATGGTGATAATATCAAACAGGTTTAAAAACATCACAGCATCTCTGACTGCTCAGATCATGTTGCTGAACTGCTCATACTTAAAAAACATTGCAGACCTTAAGAGCACCGATTTGGACACACAGTCTTGCCATTGGTTTTGTTTACCATCAATGTAAGCACATGACAAGAATGCAGAAATTCCACTTACATCCTCATTCATGTAGAGAAACTTAGGAGAGCAATCTTTTTAAAGAGATTCAAAAAACATGTTCTTGCATTCATTTACATGATATCATGTTGTTGTTGTTGCATCGCTCACACTATTACAAGATTATATGGTGATAATATCAAACAGGTTTAAAAACATCACAGCATCTCTGACTGCTCAGATCATGTTGCTGAACTGCTCATACTTAAAAAACATTGCAGACCTTAAGAGCACCGATTTGGACACACAGTCTTGCCATTGGTTTTGTTTACCATCAATGTAAGCACATGACAAGAATGCAGAAATTCCACTTACATCCTCATTCATGTAGAGAAACTTAGGAGAGCAATCTTTTTAAAGAGATTCAAAAAACACAAGTCGCTAACATACAGCCTTGTCATGAATTTGCCTTTCAAACTTTGTTTACAAGTAAATAGGTTTGGTTGTTTGTTTTAATACAGTTCAATTCTTTGGCACACTTTTTTTCCATTGATATTGGGTTAATATTTGTTTCAGTTTGACATTGCATTCATCCAAGAAATATCTTGAATGCAAAAGCAGAGCCTTTTGTATTGTATGTATTATATAGCATGTGATTTTGTATTATGTGTACAGTGGACTGATGTTAATTAAATGCTTTTGATGTATATTCTCATCATACTGGTTCCTAAATACAAAGATCCTGTTTGCTTTTTCAGTTGTCAGAAGTATGACCTGACGTCTTTATCTGATGTTTTTCATTTACTATTAAGGAGTGGTGCTTGATGTGGCAACACTCAGAACCAAGACGTTTGTCATATATATTCCCAAGTGAGGAAGAGCCTCATGTGTTTATCATATTCTGGTGCCAAGCTTAGAGGCCTTTAAAGCCCTCAAAGAGCCCCAGTACACTGCCTCAAGAACCAGCTTTGGCTTTCTTTTTTTTACGGTTTTACAATCCTGAAATTTGAAATTCGTGCAAGCTTAGTTTGTTTTGACCACTGCAGGGAGACAGTTTTAGTTCTTCACCATATAAACTTAATGGATACCTCAGATTGTATTGGTATTTAAACATAAAGAGATTATCTGCATACACTGAAACACAAAAAGTAATCAAAAATGCACAATATAAAGAGTACAAAAACTGGCCCTTTTGCAGATGCAGCACTTGCAGAAGAACATTAAGATTTGTTAATTCCCTGAGATTTGTTTCAGATCCACTATTCTGCAAGGATAAATCTGATTATTTGAGCTGCACCACTGTGCTATGGAAGTTATGACAAAAGGTCATAATTTTGTCTATTATGACCCTTTATCTCAAAAGTACGACTTATTATGCTATATATTTTTTTCACAGTTATTAGTCAATATTGACTCATGTGATAATATCCATTTTTTAATCTGATAATTTCAAACTTCTGTAATTTTCACATTTTAAATCTCATGATTTACAAAAGCACGATTTGTTTTTTCTTATGAGGCAGAAATGGGCCTCGTGGGTGCCTGAACCCAAGCCGTTTCCAGCTGCCCTGTGGCTGCTTGAGCATGTTTTTCTCAGGAAAACTACAATGGAAATTATAACAACTATAAATGACACATCATGTTGTTGACAAGAAAACATCAGTTTACTGTAGGCACAAACCACAAAGAGACAAAATCCTCTATGGACTGTTTCTAGGGACAATATCACATTTGTGATCATGTTGATTTTTAGAAAAACAACACTCTTGCTCGTGTGATATTTACTATATCATGTTAGAAGTACATTCAAACAACTGACTACAGAGGCCTTTTTTGCCTCATTTCTTGTGCACTTGGGTCATTTTTAATGATTTTGGCATTGTTTCTGCCCCACACCCCATTCATTTGTGACTGACAAACAACTAAAGTTAAACAAACCGGTAAAGCTGGACCCATGGACAGGACCTCAGTCTTGCACACAAGCATTCTTGATGAAAATGGACAGCATCCATTATGCTCTTTAACCACAACATTGTCTGTTAGCTCATAAATCACAAGGCTTTACAGTATGTGTTAGACATAAATGTATTAAATTTAATAATAATTTGTGAAACCAATGTGAAGCCCTCACTACTCAGGTGTTACCTCGTCACTCCTCAGAAACTATAGCAATCTAGACATTAATTTAAAGTAGACAAATTTCAGTGGTCTAGATCACTATAGGAGTTCCCACAGAGTAACTAGGTTTCAAACATTGTGCATAGGAATATCAGCACGTTTGGTGTATTGCTTGTTTTAATAAATGAGTAAATGTAAACGTAAAACATTTAGTTTTACTAATATGTGAATTCAGGTTGATTGGGTGACTTTTCCCAGTCATTTCAATGACTAAAACTTGTTCCAATCAGCCTGAATTCACATAAGATTAGAAATATCCAAACAACTCTGAGATTCCATTTTATTTACATGATTTATTGGGTCTTGAATATAAAGAGCTTGTCTACATACAATGAAACACAATGGTCCTCATTTCCAATGTATATACCTGAGAACATTGTAGTACATTTAAATAACAGTTCTTACAAATAAAACAGTTCAATATAAATGTTTGCTAATACAGAATTAAGGCAGCAACATATTGACAGGCTTATGTGTCTTATAACTTCAGTCAAAAAAGTACCTGTTTCAACATCTCATTCTGTTATACAATAAAAATGCAGTGCATAAGGCAAGGATATAACAGTACAAAACATCAGAAAGCTGTAAACATTCAGCTAAAAAAGTAACTTTTTAACTTACAAAGCCAAGAGGCAAGGCGAGGTTATTTAAATAGCACACTTCATACACACTAGTCATTAAAAGGGCTTGAGACATAAAATAAAAAAGAAATGACAAATGGTACAAAGGGAAAATATAAAAATAGCTATTAAAGCAACATTGTAACTTTCATTTTTTAACATTGTAACTTTTTTATTATAAGGCAGAAATGGGCCAACAAACTGAGCCCATGGTTGCAGGCGATTGTCTTAGCGTGAATGTTGCTAACAACATCAACACATCTAACACTCCTACAACTAAATAAATAACTAAAAGATGTATATTCACAAAATGTTATATGACCAGGTAAGTAGTTTATATGGCGCTGTTGTTTTGAGGTTATTTAGGCAATGTTACCAACATAAACATTGTTTTGTATACCTCAATGATGAGCAAATGTGATGCTATGCAAACTAAACTAAACATATTTCTGAAAAGCTAAGCCAATGATTCATATTTTACTGTAGTTGCTTTCCCTTTGTGCTTAAATTCTTATCAGTTTAAGGTCATTTGTTGAGCCTTCGAGCTACTATGAGACCTTCTCTCCTTTATTTACAGATATGACATGCATTGAAGAATGTCGTTTCCTGCAAAAACAGCTGTGGAATATTATTACAATAGTGATTTATGAATGAGTAGAGCACCTTGCGAGCTCCTGATAATTTTTTGGGAATTGACTTGAATTCCAAAACCATGAACGACCACATCACTATAGATTTCTAGGTAGCCTTATAGTGTGCACATAAGGAAGATACAGAAACACACACTCATTCTAGCCGTTTTCTGTTCTTCAAACAAATCCTTTGCTTACTCGTCTTTTTATTTATTTTTCTACCCGAAGCTGCGGCAACAACAATGAAAGCACTAACCTCCTCTGACTCCATGTTTAAATGCAAAAGCTCATGCAGTTGCTGCAGGAAAGTGCAGTGTTTCATTTACCAACTGCTTCGTCATGATTATCAGCCTTTACTGGTTCATATTGTGCAGAAGGGCTCACAACCTCAGGAGTGGCCGAACCCACGCCGTTTCCAGCTGGCCTCTGGCTGCTTGAGCACTTTTTTTTCAAGAAAACTACAATGAAAATAACAACCAATATAAATAACACAGGTAATATAATGCAAACCAAGAGCAAAGGCAGTGATGGCACCATTCTGTCCTGTTCTGTTTCTCCTTGGTTTCCTTGTTCAGTGGATATTGATCCTGAAAAAATAAAAAATAAAAACTTTTACAGAAAACATTACCTCACTGTGATAAAGGATCCATCTATAATTTATATACAGCAGCACTGAGACTGGAGCATCACTGGTGAACTTCAGATATTGAATCAATCACTTGCAGTATTTAGATTTTAAAACAAACTAATTTAAATTAAAACGTTCATGCACTAATCAACTAGTTTCACATACCATTGATGATCAGCTGTACAGTCTGATATTCATCTAAGTGTGTGATATAGCAAATGTATTGTCCTGCATCAGTGTGTTGAAGATGGTTGAGTTTGATGGAGAAGTTTCCTCTCAGATACTCCTGAGGGAAAGTTTCAGTTCTGTTCTTGTACTCTGGATCCTGTATCACTGGTGAATTACTGTGTGGAATTATATCAAATACAATTTTACTGCCATTGTGTCTCCAGCTCACATCAATGTCTTGAATTTTAAGATCATGTTCAGTTGAAGAACACGGCAGGACAACAGAACCACCAATAACAGCCTCTACTGTGACCTGCAGACACACTGAAATCACACAAACTTTAGCTGTAAACACACAGTCTGGTATTTATACATGTGGCATGAATTTAACTCTTAAATATCGTTTTTGTTCTCACCTTTGTTTATCAGCACAGCGAATGCACAGATAAAGCAGCAGCTGCAGAAACAGAAAAAGTCTCTTTAACTTCATTTAGCTCAACCTGAATAGCATGCTTCAAGCAACACAAACATAATATGTTTGATTTTCACATAACACACATGATTAAGGTAAGAATACATGCTATATTGTTACAATTTGGCAGTAAATGTTTTTGAAGAGGACAGTCCTCACCTATTTTATACTGGTATAACGTTGATTTCACTGCAAGACTGAGCAAATCAAACTACTTTCAACTAAACCTAACATGAGACACAAAAGACGATAATCCAAAATGCTAACTGCTAACAACTAAATCAAAATAATAGTTACAGCAGACAAACCTGATAATCAAGTTTATAATAATTCATGTTTAATGTATTCATGATGCTTAAGAGTTTTCCTGTTTTTAATTCTAGTTTAAATGAAGCATTTAACAACCCAAACACAGCAGGCCAAACACAAACACGAGCAACAAGTTACATCAGACTTTCATTTTTGAGAAGCACGTGTTTTTCCAAACAGCGTTTCATTCAGAATTCATCAAACATACCTGTTCATGGTTCTGGCCCAATATTAGAATATATTATTTATTTTTACTGTATTGCTCATAAATATTTCTGAAATTAGAGTAAAATACAATTTTTTTAACTCTGCTTCAATGTGCCATGCGTCGTCCTACAGATGACGTCAGACGTCAAGCGTACGTAAGTACGTAAGTAAGACGTGAGTGTCGTCAACAGTTACCAGGTGAAATGATCAGAAACACACTCGAGATTAAAGATGTACCCTTTAAAATATTCACTCAATTTACCCATGCAATGTATCATTATCAAAATTCATAAACATCCACAATAACTTCACTTTTTGTACTATAGGAATTGACTCATTTGATTTATAACAGTAATTTTGGTCTAATCTTTTTTTTTTTTTTGCCCCAAGAAATGTTCATTATAAGCTGCCTCTAAAAGATGTTATACGTTCTTCCACACACAGAAGCAAAATGTTTGAGTTTGTCGTGAACTCCTATATTTTGTAATGTAAACATCACATCCACAAACAAAAAATGCATACCTAGCCTAATTGTAAATGATTCTTAATAGAAATGGAGTCATTGAAACAATCTTAAATGTCAATCAAATCAAAAAGAATGATACCTTGTTAAACTTTATGGAGGAATTCTTTGCATAGTAACGTCCTTGCTTTACATCACCAAATACTTTGGATCTTGAATCTGTTGCTAGAAAAAAGGAGCATACCTAGCCTAATTGTAAATGATTCTTAATAGAAATGGAGTCTTAAATGTCTTAAATGTCAATCAAATCAAAAAGAATGATACCTTGTTAAACTTTATGGAGGAATTCTTTGCATAGTAACGTCCTTGCTTTACATCACCAAATACTTTGGATCTTGAATCTGTTGCTAGAAAAAAGGAAGAAATTATTGTTGTCAATATTTCTTTTCTTTTCTTTTCTTGTTTTCTGTTTTATTCATTTATTTGTTTATTTTCTTCTACATTCTATCTGTTATATCAATGTGTCTCTTTTAAAGTAATCCCTCCCTGTATGTCTGTAGAAACATGTTGTAAGACTTCTATGTTCCATTAATAAATAAATAAATTAATTAATTAATTAAAAAAAGAAAGAAAGAGCTGCACTCTAGATTTTCATTCCTTCAGTATATTCAAGACTCCTGAGACACAAGTTGACTATCACATGCTTTTCACATGTGACTCTTGATCTTCTACTGAATGTTCACCATTAGTAATAACGAACATGTTTCTGATCTCAGTTGTCTTGAATAATCTGTCTGGTCTTTAGTTCATCAATAAAAGAAATGACAAAAGCTTCTTTTTTTTCATTAGTTAGACTACAAAATACTGTGGAAAGTTCTCTGAACAATAATTAATTTGTATATATAATAATAGCAAAATAAGCTGGTCTTTTCCTTACATCTGATGTGCCATTTGATCCAAGTACTCATACTTACGTGAGTATGAGATTGAAGCTTCCTTTCGTAAACTGTTCTGGGAAAATGTTGTATTCTGGATCAAGTAAAGCATTTCTCTGAATAATGTCTTATATATTCCCACTCATTGTGTCTCAATACACTGTCAAGTCTTGACTTTATTTTATTGTCACTGTAAAAACAGGACAAAAACGCAGAATTCCCAACAACATCCTCATTCTGACCTACAGACAGAGAGAACAGAAAACAGCTGAACACAGTCTGGATTTTCCATGAATTGCTGTTCAGATTTTGCTTGATATTAACAACTCCAACAGATGAGTTGAACAAACAGAAAAACAGTTACTCTCTACTGAAGAGAATAGAGAAATATACCTGCATTGATGGTTTTGGTTGTCATATCTGGGCTCAATCCAGAAAGATCTTCCTCATAGTTCCTCTCTCTCGTCTTCATCCTCACTGACTCAACAAGTGCTGTAATTAAAGAGACTGTAATATTCCCTGTCAACCTGATGGGTGGAGAGACTTTAACTTGTAGTCAGACCTGATGAGCAAGTAACTGTTTAGTAAGTGGGCAGATCATGTGTTTAGTAAGAAACAAATCATAACAGAGTCATTCCTGTTCCCAGAGTCTCTAAGAATGGACAAAACAATAATAGTACACACAGAGACAGGCAAACATATTGATCTCTGTACATATGGTTATTTAAACACTGAAGTTTGTTGAATTATGTTTGACACATTCCTGCTGTCACTGTGACTTTATTATTGTCAAAAGAATAAAGAATGTCAAAAGAATGACATGAATGCTGAGTTTCCAGTGCAATGAACCGCAGAGGAACTGAAACACACAGCCTTGATATGAAAATGCCTTTCACATTATATTTGTTTACATCAGCATATTGGTTTGGTTGTGTATGTGTAGCCTAGTGTTTATTGACAGCTTGAATGAAACAGATAAATATTGTCCCTTTAAATTTTGAACTGCATAATGACTGAGTTCTAAAAATAAGAAAACTACTGTGACATTAAATTATCATACTGTTGTGCTGTGTTTTAAAGAGTGTTATTCTATGTAAGTGAGTTCAGGTGTACACATGCTCCCAATGTCTTACAGAAATAGGCTAAATGTGTTGCACCAGGACAAGCACCGCCTCATTGTAACATATGTTGTATGTTTGTTTTAGTTTGCACTCTTTGGCACAAATAACAATTGTTTTGCTTTAGAAATTCATAACTTGTCATTACTATAGTGTTAATGTCTTTGGTTTTTCACATTGTTATTATGCCAAAAAAATACCTTGCGTACAAAAGCAGAGTGTTTAGTATGTGCATTGTTGTATTGAATTATTGCATTATATGCAGCAAATGACTAAGTAGTCTATTCTGATAGTGATATACAGACACAGTCACTTCTGGGTTTTTTTTTTTTCTTAATTATACTGCAGATGTGCATAATCAGATGCCATGTCATGTTCTTTAAACTGTAGTTGTCTTCTGCTGCCCTCAAGAGGCTTTAATGAGCATTAAAATATATTTTTTAAATATTTTAAAATATCCCATAACCCTAACCCTAACTGTACCTGGCATTGGGACAGATGTAACCAAAGCGCTGTTGCCAAACTCTTGGTGGTACACAGATAAAGGCATTAAATGAGAGAGAGATAGAGAGACCTTAGCATGTTTCTTAAACATTCAGTTTCAAATAATCTCACATATTATTAAAACTTGCTCATATTCTATGTTTTAAATTGTTGTATTGTCTATTTATAGCCATGATGTTTTCTTTGCATAGAATTGTTTGATGCACTAGGTCATTTGTGACTTTACACCTCACCTCTTGCAGCACAATGGTGGCTCTATGATGTCTGCCAACAAAGTCACTTGGCAGAAACTCTTAAGCGTGACTACACGTGACTACACACAGTGTGACTAGACACAGTAACCCAGTCTCATGAGAATTCATAATAATTTGTATGAGATCATAAGATAAAATCGTTCAAATTCAAACCTAAACCTGACCATAATAACAGGAAGAAAACTATGAAAGTGTTTGTACAATCTAAGTCATATAATGTAATATGATTTTAGCTTCTTGTACAAATGATTATGAGTTGTCATGAGAGGGTGTTTTATGTGACAGATAGGTTTGCTAATGTTACTGCAAGTATCTGGTAATGTACTGTCATGGTTAATCTAATTAATAAAATGATTATGATGGTGGGCGTTAGATGTTGAAAAAAAAACTGTCTGCAATGTGGTCAGAGCAAACTTGACTTCCTCTGGTTTCTGCTTGAGAGCTGCAGTAGACTTCATTATAAATGCTGTGTGGAGGGAACCAGGCTTCATTAGATTCAACGCTTTTAATCAGGCAAGAAAATGAAGATCCTTCAGCTTCAGCTCTGTAAGTTCATTATATATTATGACTGTAACATGCACTTTGTTGTAAATTATTTTATGTTAAAGGTTCACAGTGATTTTGAGAGGCCGGTCTTAATTATGATGTATGCTTATTGACTTTTTTATCTTATAGATGTATTAATCTGTTGTCAAGCTGCAGTTTCAGATCTATTAACTGGTTTGGGATCAAATGTGATCATAAACTGTGATCTTGATGAAAATGAGGTTTATTGGATTTTACTGAAAACACCAGATCCTCCGACAGTGATTCTACGATCATTCTCAACACCAAAATCACCTTTTTACTTTAACAAAACATTCAGAAACAAATATTCAGTGCAGTTTAAACATCGTCTGGTTATTAATAATGTGACTGCTGATGAATTAGGAGTTTATTACTGTATGAACACAGAAACACCTCCAAAACTCAGCAACAGCACCAGACTGCACTTCACTGGTGAGTCCATTTGCTTACATTTTCATGGTCTCTTATTTATTTATAAGTATTTGTAATTCACTTCTTCAGTTTTTTGAACCCTACAGACCACTTATTGGTTGCTCTACACAAAGTTTAATATGTTACAGAAATTTAATTTAGTTCTACAAAATTGCAGTCATTGTGCTCCAGATGTCAGCAGTTGTTACAGTAACAAACTGTGGACACTTTTATTACAGAATCAGCTCATCTAACTGAGTGTCACAATCATACAGTGGTGGAGTTTATTGATCAGAATCAGACACAATGGCAGATTATCATCATCATCATATCTGGCCTGATGAACGGACTTCTGATCATTGTGGTGATTGGTGAGTTATCAGTATGACGCTGTTCTCCATAGACAGATGTAAGTTTTTTATTTAGTCTTTTCGCTATAATTTTGGTAGTTTAGCTGACTTATATAAATAATTTAAGAAATAAAAATACACCCTTTATATACTGAATCTGAATTTGCTATTCCATTGTTAGGACTATTAAAGGTTTATGTTGTTGGAAATAAAAGATCTTCAGAACGAGCACAACAACTCAACACTGATCTACAGCAGATGCAAGTTACAGAACAGCATCAGGACCAATTACAGGTTAAAAAAAAATCATTAATGTGGGTCTTGATATTAATTTAGCATTCCTGCTGACCTTTTCCTCAAACAGTATCCTATTTTTTGATTAATTGAAACATTCATTTTGGTCCATGGACAGCTCGAGCTTATATCGTTTTCTTCATTGCTCTTTCAGTACGCTGAGGTGGATTTTTCCAAGCTGCGTAGAAATATTCGGACAAGCCAAGTCAACAGCATCTATGCTGCTCTAAAGCCACCAAGACATAACACATGAGTATAACTGCTTGTTTTGTTGCTTGAAGTTCATGCAACTCTCAAACCACTGACCACAAACAGTTCGGCAGCTATACATTCTTTAGATTGGGTTTTTTTTTAAATGCCAGGGGATCCGCGGGAAAGGAAAAAAAAGAAAGTAAAAATAAAATAAAAGTAAAAACAAACAAAAAAGTTGCATGTGATATAATTTAATCAATCACTGTATAAATGAATCTGTACAAATAGTAAACACCATCAGTTAAATGACCAAAGTTTACTTGGATTTTTAAAGTGCTTTTTGTATTGAGAAAAAAAAATAGCTAGCAAATGAATGGCATAAATGTTTTCTGAATAGAAAATCATTGTCTTTGTATTTGATTGCCTCCATTCTTTGAAACTCATGTTTAAGAAAATATTTATATGACTATTTTTAATACATTCTTACGTCTACAATAGTTTTTAATCTATAAATAGTATATGAATTGTGTAAAATGGCATTTGAAACGGACTTTTATGAAAATACCCTTATGCTGAAAACACAATTTAACCTTTCAGTTAAAATCTGTATTCTTATTAAGTTTACACTCAATACTAAATAAATATATGTTTTGTGCATTTTTGTGAATAATGAATAGCCTGAAAAATCAGCAATGAAATTGTTTAGCTGGGTATTACTACCAGTTTCTCGATAATTATATTATACTTCATGTAAACAGCATTTTATTCAATAAAAAAGTCAATGCAATTTCAACATCATTTCAACATTTATGAATATATGAACACGACACACATTAAGCATCATTGTCAGATTTATTCTTAAATGAATAATAAATAAATAAACAAAGAAAAGAATACAACAAATTCTAAGTTTCTTTAGAAGTGGCATGGCATCGGTCACACCTCAAAATTGTATCACTTCCATTATAATGTTATGTTACATTTGTATATTATATATAATATATTAAACAGCTGGCTTTATTTTCAACTGAACTCAACTGAAGTGCTCAACCAAAACCATAAATATGTTCTGCTGCATTTGGTACTTGACACCCAATGACAAACAGGGTCGCTCACCTTTGTCTAGACTGGAGGTTTAACCAAGAACCGAGTGCAGTATTTTTTCAATCCCTTTATGCATTTATGTATCTCAGTTCTCACAGTTGTCTTAACCTCAAATGGAAACAGCAGCATTGCATTATGTCTGCTTTGTTTGTATACTAGATCTACACATTTAGTGCTTGCCAAGAGTGTTAAGCAAAGTACCTTCACACTTGATACTGACGTTTATTTTGCCATTAATGACTAACAATGACTATTCTTATTAAGTTTACACTCAATACTAAATAAATAAATATATGTTTTGTGCATTTTTGTGAATAATGAATAGCCTGAAATATCAGCAATGAAATTGTTTAGCTGGGTATTACTACCAGTTTCTCGATAATTATATTATACTTCTTCATGTAAACAGCATTTTATTCAATAAAACAGTCAATGGAATTTCAACATCATTTCAACATTTATGAATATATGAACACGACACACATTAAGCATCATTGTCAGATTTATTCTTAAATGAATAATAAATAAAAAAACAAAGAAAAGAATACAACAAATGCTACGTTTCTTTAGAAATGGCATGGCATCGGTCACACCTCAAATTTGTATCACTTCCATTATAATGTTATGTCATATTTGTATATTATATATAATATATTAAACAGCTGGCTTTATTTTCAACTGAACTCAACTGAAGTGCTCAACCAAAACACTTCACTTTGGGGAAGTCGTGGCCTAATGGTTAGAGAGTCGGCCAAAGGTTGCGAGTTCGAGTCTCCGGTCCCACCTTCAATACCACGACTGAGGTGAGACCCTTGAGCAAGGCACCGAACCCCCAACTGCTCCCCGGGCGCCGCAGCAAAAATGGCTGCCCACTGCTCCGGGTGTGTGATCATGCTGGGTGTGTGTTCACTACTGTGTGTGTGCACTTAGGATGGGTTAAATGCAGAGCACTAATTCCTAGTATGGGTAACCATACTTGGCTACATGTCACGTCACGTCACTTTTTTCAATAAATAGTCTGCAACTGTTAAAGCAGCTTCATGTGAATCTAGGGTCATTCTCAAAGAAATAAATGCTTTTACATAAAAGTCATACTAGAAGTGCTTAAACTAGGCCTTCTGGGAAATGCTGTTGGACTAAATATATCAGCCCTCATGGAACACAGCTCAACCAATCATATCTGAGGATCAGAACTAACATCAGTAGGCCTATAATATTTAGTAAATATTTTTAATTTTTCATTTAGTAAATCCCCTGTAAGAGCGCATAGCCTCAACTGTATGATTCTTCATTGTGTAACCCAGATTTATTTCCTCTATGCAGTTACCCAGCAAACATCTCTTTCTGACTGGAAACACCACAGAGCTATAGATGACACCTTAACCACACAGAAAAGAGCTATAGCAACACACACTCACAGCACTCTGATTTATTCATTCTATTTATTGAATTAGATTAACATTGTACGTGTTAAAATAAACGCAGAGTAGAAAAACAATTAAGTCGTTATTCTTTTTTCATTACATGTCAGATCGTAATGCTTCTGTTATGATAGTTAACGTTATATTTTGGACATTTGCTGGTCGTCTTTATTTTTTATTTGCATCAGAGCTCCTCTGCTGCCCTCTGTAGGTCATTCATGATAGTTCAGAGTGGCATATCATATACGACAAACAGTGGAAAATATGTGTTTTATGTGAAGTGCTTTAACAAATTTGAAAAGCAGATATTTAAACAGCATTTTCATTTAAAATGTAAGGTTTCAAGTGAAGGAATGTGAATGATTTTTTGTAACTGAAATTACACTTTTTTCTGATTGTTAATAATGTCAAAGTTTTCTCAAAAAGTATAAAAGTGACAAAAGGAGTAGCTCAAGAAAATGCAGAGGAAATATTGTATATGCTCTTTTTATCTTTTTATATATGTGTGTTTGATTTCAACAAGAAGATTTACTCATATGGTGTATCGTAGGCAGGTATTAACAGGTCAAATAATTATAGAGGACAGAGTCGAGTGGGGGCACAATAACCCAATAAAGCTCTTTTGATTGGAGAAAATAACCACCCGATCTCCTTTTGTTAATCACTGCATCATTTAGTTTGCAGTCTGAAGATCTCATTCTGTAATAAGATCAATACAGTGCATAAACAGTGCAAAACATTGTCTTCTGCACCAGAGAGAACCAATGAAAGCTGTGACAATTGTAACTAGATGTAATTAGTCAGAAAAGTTAAAGAAAATTAAAAGTGAACATTTAAACTAAATGTTTATGCCATTTGTGTCACTGTTCTTTGTTCTTAAGGTAGCTTGAATTCTTCTAAAGAGAAATATTATGAAACTGACTGTAAAAACAATAATAAGATCACTGGGTTTACAGTGTATTACCTGTATGTTATTATTTATACATGTTAATCTCATCTCTAAATATGCTACAGTTTAGCAGTAATTGTTATTATGAGGAGAGTTTTCACCCATCTTACCCTACTAGTAAAACCATAACCTTATCAACTGTAAGACTAGACAATTCAAACTACAAACTAAAACTAACTGCACATGCACCGGGAAACAAAAAACAGTAATACAGAATGTTAATGCTAATTGCTAACGACTAAATCAAAATAATAGCTACAGCAGACAAACCCTCCATATAAACCTGATAAGCATTCATTAACCAATTCATGTGTAATGTATTAACAACAGAAGTTTTCCCTTTAATAGTTTAAGTAAAGCATTTGACAACTGAAACACAGCAGGCCGAACACAAATATGAGGACGCAAGCTACATCAGGCCCTCATTGGGAAGTACGACACGTGTTTGTACAAATAGCGTTTTGTTTAAAATTCATCAAACGTACCTGTTCATCATGGCGACCCAATGTTATCAATATATGATTTATTTGAATATATTGCACGTAAATAATTCCAAAATTATGGTGAAATACTTATTTAAATACTGCGTAGTGCTTCTGTGCGCTCTACGGATGACATATCAGACATAAGTGGCATAAGTGACAACAGTAACCAGGTGATCATCAGAAATGTGCAACAGATATTTGTTAATATTTTTTAAATTTACTTCAGTATATTATATTAAAGACTCCTAAGAGACAAGTTGACTTTCACATGTCTTCCCAATTAGTAATATTGAACAGGTTTCTGATCACAGTGACTATCTCCAATTATCAGTCTGTCATGTGTGGATTTCAGTTCACAAATAAAAGAAAAAATGTCTTTATTGGTTAGAATACAAAATATTGTGCCAGTTTTACTTTACAATTATAATGAAAGTTAGATACAATAAGAATAAACGTCTCAGGTTACTTATGTAACCATGGTTCCCTGAGTAGGGAACGAGACACTGCGTCCTCTAGGGGTCGCTATGGGGAACGCCTCGTTGTGACCCGTGTCTGAAGCATACATTGAAAAAACACCAACTCGTTGGCCGGCGACAGCCATGACGTCACTACCGGTGCGACTATAGTATAAATAGGCGCCGGGAGCACACATCATTCACTTCTTCGTCTGAAGCTTGCGTCCGCAGCATGGCAAGAAACCTAGAGGACGCAGGCCGATGAGTGCGAGAGGGAAAGCCCCTCTTTAAACTCATCTGCCAGGTCCACCTGAGATCCCCACGAGCTCATTCTCCTCCGTGCCTCAGCAGCGGCGGGTCCTGAACCACGGGAAGCAGATGGTTGCCCCTCTTTACTCGAAAAGAGAGACAAACGAGAACGGAGCTTTTTTATTGGAAAACGCTCGCAGTGCACGCAGATTGCCCCCTCGAGGACATCGCGTGCGTGCTCTTCGCCCAAACAGACAATGCATAGATCGTGTGTGTCATCGGGTGTCAAATAGCGATGACACGGATGCACACACCTTCTAAACGCTCTGCTAGTGCTCGCCATAATGAATAGAGATAGCTCTTACTTTTTCCTTGGAAATGCACGCTTCAAACAGAAC